AATTAGATAAATATGTAAACATTATTATTACTATTGTCCAAAATTGTATATATGAGTGGCAAATCAATATATTTCTTATAGGTATGAGATTGCTGTCGGTGCGGCCAGGGGTTTAGAGTATTTGCACCATGGTTGCGACCGCCCCATCATCCACCGGGATGTCAAGTCCAGTAATATCTTATTGGACGAGTTTTTCAAGCCCAGAATTGCAGATTTTGGTCTGGCAAAGATTCTCCAATATAACAGCTCTTGTAAAGACACCACTCATGTCATTCCAGGAACTCATGGATACATCGCTCCAGGTACAAAACATTTCAAGTTTTATTATAAGCTTTGTCTAAATTTATGCAATTGTTTTATTAAGCAAGCATGCATGCATGACGATTATCGTGACCTATCAAACTCGTTGCAGAATACGGATACACGCAAAAGGTGAAGGAAAAGAGTGACGTGTACAGCTTCGGGGTGGTGCTGATGGAGCTGGTGTCGGGGAAGAAGCCAATCGAGGCAGAATACGGAGAGAACAACGACATTGTGAGCTGGGTGAGCACGAAGTTGAAGAGCAAAGAGAGCATATTGAGCATGGTTGATTCAGCCATCCAAGAGCCATTTAAGGAAGATGCAATTAAGGTTTTGAGGATAGCAATTTTGTGCACTGCTGCCCTCCCAAATTCAAGGCCAACCATGAGGAGAGTGGTTCAAATGTTGGAGGATGCTGAGCCTTGCAAATTGGTAAGCATCATTGTCTCCAAAGATGCTGCTAAACTTGACAACCCATCAGACAACACCTCAAAGATGTAACCTTAAAACTAGTTTCTATTGGATTGTAAGCCTCTCAAGGATCATGTACAAAGGTTGTAGTGTAATATAAACATATATAATGTAACCCAAAGGGGAAGTTCAAGTGGCAAACGAGCTTCTTTGTGAGGACGACCGTAGAGATAACTCGCCAAGTGACAATTCCCCTTGGGCCAGCTTTCACGGCCCCCGTAGCGAACATGATGTATAAATCTTGATTCAAAAATAATGTGTCTTCAGTTAATAAATTATATGTATGTAAATAAATTGAATACACATAATTTGTTAACTACAAACACATACTCCGTAATATGTTAACCGCATATTATGTGTCTATAGTTAATATGTTATGTGCATTTAATTTATTTGCAAATAGATAATATATTAACATGTTAACTTCATACACATAATTTGAATGTGAATCATTTTAAACCATGATTCATAGTATAAGATTTACCATAGTCCATGATATAATTTGTCATGAGCAACACAAACATATAAAGGGCCCAACACAAGAGACCACGTAACATAACCCGAAAAATAAGAGAGCCCATACTGAAAACCTGTCCATTATGGAATTTTGACAATTTGAGGTACATTAGTACATTACCCATAAAAAATAAAAACAAAAATTATGAGGTGTTTGGTAGGATGGAATTGCAATTTCATGGTTTGATTGGTGGGAATTGCAATTCTACGGAATTGTAATTTCTTCCGATTATGAAATTGTAATTCCTAGGAGATTCTATGAATTGCAATTTCACACTTTGTGAAATTGTAATTTCATGGTAAATTATCATTTAATCCTTATGATAATGTAATTTAAATTCACATTTTATTCTTTTCTCACGGAATTGCAATTCATTTTCCCTTAATTCCCTCCTTCCAACCTAACACATACTCCATAATATCTTAACCACATATTATATGTCTACAATTAACATATTAAATGTCTGTAGACCGTAGTTAATATATTATGTGTATTTAATTTATTTATGGACACATAACTCTATACACATAATTTGAGTGTGAATAATTTTAAATTAGGATCCGTAATGTAAAATTGACCATGATCCATGATATAATTTGCCATGATCAATACAAACATATAAAGGCCCAACACAAGAGGCCACATAACATAACTGAAAAATAAGAGAGCCCATATTGAAAACCTGTCCATTTTGGAATTTTGACCAATTTCATTACTGCGTGGACCATGATCCATACAAGTTGTTGACCATATTTTGTATACTATAAAATAATGTACATTTAGTACAAAAATAATATACATTCAACACTAAAATAATGTACATTGTATTCAGGGGATGTACATTATTTTTGTACTGAGTGTACATAATATTGTATAATGTACATTCAGTACAAAAATAATGTACATTTAGTATATTAAAAATGTACTTTTTGTTATGGTCCACATAACACTGTGTGGACCATAATTTGCCAATTTTGACACTTAGATGTACATTAGCCAAAGAAAAAAAAAATTATATTAGTTTATTACTCTCACAGGTCTCATCATAATATTGACAACCAAGAGTATAGATTCAATGAGAGAATCCAGCTGCTTTCTTGTCTACGGCGACAGACTCTAAGTTTGGTCTAGTTATCCAGAGATGATATTTTGATCCTCAGATTTATATTCATGAACTTGTTATCTTGTAGTAATATCATTGCTTTGGTTTTGGACCGTCCAATGACATTATTTTAATGTTATTGGGTGTGTAAACAAATCAATTCAAATACATTAAATTCAATTCGTGATTTTAATCCTTATATCTTGATTCAAATTTCAATAAATCGAATACGAATCAGAGTAGGTTCGATTCGATATATATATAATACTAACCGAAGACTTTGTGGTTCACTGGTACTAAGTTGTTTTTTTATTTGGAAAATTATGAGTTTAAACTTCAGTGGAAACAGACTATTAGCTCTTTGTGCTGAACAGATAATACATCATAACAAAGTTAAATATTTAACAAATACAAAAATTAGTGACCGATATTTTAAAGACACATTTAATCTTACAAAAATTATTTCCCTATTGTTAAAGTAGAAGCAAGCACCTGTACCTAAACGAAAACATTTGGTTAGCTACCCAATCAAATTAACAACCAATTTCTAAAAGTTTGCAATTCAAGACCATGGAACTACCCAAAAGTGTATAAAAGACAACATATTCAAAAACTTTTTTTTAAGATATAAACTCCGCTCATGTGTATTAATCTAGTAATCTTACTGAAGAAGTAAATTTCACTATAAAACATGTTTAAAATTAATCATGTCCTTCATATGTCTAAACGTTGATAATTACATATAATTATATTTAATTAATTAATTAAGAATAAAAATAAAATATGTTTATTTATATAGATAAGTGCAAAAAGACTCCTATAGACAACAAAAAATAATAATAATAATAATAATAACAAATTTAATAAAAGGGGTGATTCAATCATTTCATTAAAGATTAACATTCCTAATCAATAAAATATAATTTATTTTACATTTTTATTATATTTGATTTTTAATTTATAGAATGTGCTGTCAAATAAATCAACAAGTTGAGTACACAATTTACATATTTGTGTTAGAATTCATATTTTATTATCCCATGTATAATAAAACACTCAAATTACGATTTTCTAATCTGGACGACAATATACATAGTTACTGTATTTAAATTTTGTGAGTGACTAGTTAGCTTTGGCGGTGGAAGAATGAATTAAAATGACAGTCACAAGATTAAGAAAGTCAACCTATATAAATTACATTTCGAAATATTATTTTACACGTTATATCATCGCTATTACATACTCCGTAAATATCTTTATATTTCCTAAATTCATTTATATTTTCTAAATCTTTCTACATTCATAAAATAGCTCACCCTACCATAAATACCCGATTACCATTAACATACAACATTACCATATGACTATATGTGGTATTTCTTCAACTATAAGATGTCCTATTCACTTCCAAGAAAGGGAGCTCAATCAATCATCTTTTTCCCTCTACATCTCTCTAGGAGAAGAACACAAATGCTACACGACGCACCATTCCGTTTTCACGGTAAAAATATTGTCACTTTATTTTTTTCTCTATTATTTATCTTTTATTGATTCAATCGATCTTATTGGTCTGTCGAATGACTATCCTTGGTAATCATAAAACTAAAAATCAGATTTATAAATTTGTTTTAAATTGGACCGATTACAAATTTATCATTAAAAACAAGTATATTTGCTTTCAAAAAAAAAAAAAAAAAAAAAAAAGAAAAGTATATTTTATCAAAGATCTGTCCATTTTGATGATCTCACATGGGTTATGAAAGTCTACATAAATAGGTTAGACTTAATTCTTGAAGATAATAGGTTAGACTTATACTGCAAAATATATATATATATATATGTAATGATAACTTAACTCTTAACTACTTTTTTGAGTAGAACTCTTAACTACTTAATAGTTAATAGGTTAGAATAAATCTTTTTATTGAGATTTTATAGTGTGAGATGTGCTATATTTTTTTTTTAAACATAAATAAATAAATATAGTAGGGTTTCAATAAGAACATTTGCAATAAATCGTGTGCATTAATCTAATATTTTTTAATGATATAGATTAAATTAAGTGTATGCGAACGCGAATTAAATGTGTGCAAACACATTTAATCGCGTTTGCACACATTTAATTCGCGTTCGGACACACTTAATATTAATATAGATCATTAAAAAATATTAGATGGATACACGCGATTTATTCTCACGTTATCACAAGTGTCTCATATGATCCTAAACATATATATATATATATATATATATATATATATATATATAAATTTATAAAAAATATTATTATTACTCCCTCCGTCCCATTTTATGTGTCTGGTTCAGTTAAGGAGACTTGACTGAAATCATTTTTAATCCAATTTTTCATAATATTAAGTTTAGTATTAGTATACAAAATTTATATATTTAGAAACTACACTAAAAGTACTATTAAACACAACAAATCAAATTTAAAAATAAGTAAAGAATATTAAAGAAAATAAACAAAAAAGAAAGTGTTGGTTAAGTAGGACAGATAAAATGGGACGGAGAGAGTATTTTTTTAGAAATTTAATATATTTGGTTGCAAAATGAAAAGAAAAAAAGAATACAAAACAAAACTTTATTCATATAGTGCGGACGTGCGGTGCCGAGGATTCCAATTTCCAACTTCATCATACTATGAAATTCAGTTAAAACAATTTCCCCTTTCTTCGGGTCGCCTTGTTTCTTCTTCCGGATCGTACATTCGTACGTTCATGGGATCGTTTTTAGCCAATATCTCCAATTCAATTTCGCCGACTGCTCAAGCTCTCTTCAATGAATTGTGGACTGCCTACATCGCCCCCCTGGATTTCCATGACCTCATCATTTCCTTCGTAGGTGTATCAGCGGTCATCATCTCCGTTCACCTCTTGCTCGAGATGGTGCGTGACTTGAAGCAGACGACTAAGCAGAAGATGAAGAGCAAGTGCCTTGGAGTTCGCCGCGATTTCTCCACTGGTAATCAATACATCAATACTTGTTTTGTTATCAAGTATGGAGTATTGGAGTACTCGTTACGATTTTGTAAAAGTGATCGGTAGAACTGATAGCCTGGAGTAACAGTTTTAGTTGATTTTCATTTGCTAGGTTTTTTTTTTTTTTTTTTAAATTCTGCTAGTGGTAGATATTGTTTGTGAATGATCTACTTTGCTGCCGGTTGCTTGATGATGCTGTTTGTGTCGGATTTGTTGAGTTTTAGATGAATTTTGTTGATCGGCGAAGAAAACTCTTTGATTGCTGCAGTAGGGAATCGATAGTGTGGTAGGTTTAATTTGTCACTTTGTTTGTTTCTAATCTGTAATTATTGCTACAGTGTTGCAGCTGATGTAGTGATTTTGCTTTTTCTCAATTTCCTTGAACTGAAAGAAACACTTGTGAAGTGATCATCTTTTTTGCCTTTTGGATTCTGTTTTCAATGGTTTAGATATTATCTAAACAGTAGGCAGCACTTTTCCCAGTTGAAATGCAGTGTCATTTGCCTCAAATCATAATCAATACTTAAAAAAAAATCAATGTTTGGTTTCCTTAATTACTTCTATTATATTCTGTTTTGTTGATAATCTTCACATATTACAGAAGTAGAAAAAACCAGGAAGGTTCATGTTCCGGATCTAGATGCTGCACTTGCTGAAGATCTGCAGTTTGAAGAAACTTTATTGGCTTCGCTTTTTACTGCTCCAACTATTAATGATGCATCTTCATCTGTATTGGCTTTGCTTTCTACTGCTTCGACTGTTAATGATGCATCTTCATCTGTATTGGATTTGCTTTCTACTGCTCCGACTGTTAATGAGGCATCTTCATCTGTCCAGGGAGGACCCTTTCCTAAAAGCTTCTGCGAGATTTGTTTAGAGGACAAAGGAAAATGGCAGATGATAGAACATGACGAATGTTCTCACTCATTCTGTTCTGAGTGCATGAGCAAGCATATCATCGCAAGGGTTGAAGCAAACATGGTTGAAGTCATTTGCCCTGGAATAAACTGCAGAGCTCTGTTAAATGCCAGTGACTATCAGCATTTGGTTCCTAAGGAGACTCTAGTTCGGTGGGATGAAGCTGTATGCAAGTCAATGTACGTCGACTCTCAGAAACTGTACTGCCCTTTCCGGGACTGCTCTTCCATGTTGGTTAATGACACCGGGGAGGACATGGGAAAGTCGACTTGCCCTTTATGCAAGAGATCATTCTGTGCAGCATGCCAAGTCCCCTGGCATCCCGAGTTTACCTGCAAGGAATTCAAGAAGCTGAACACGCAGAAGAAGAAAGAAGATGCCATGGTGATGACTCTTGCAAAGAAGAAACACTGGCAGAAATGCCCGAAATGCAAAATGCTTGTGGAAAAATCAGAGGGATGTATTCACATGACTTGCAGGTGCAAACACCAGTTCTGCTACAGGTGTGGCGAGAAATGGTCTTCAACTCATGGAGCTTGCCAGTTTCATCCCATCAGGACTGCCCAGTAGGCAGTGGTGGTTTGTAGAGAAACCATTTCTCGGTTTTTGCTTCTCGTCCTTGCACAGAGATCATGCTAATCTTATCGTTATTGGTCCCGATCCTTACACAGTGAACATGCTAATCCGATTTCATACTGCTAATCATATCTTTATCACTATGATATCTTCTTATTTTGTATATATATTGCAGTTTCCAAGTAGCCATGTTTCATGTTTGACTTGATAGCTCGGGCTTATTTCAACGCACGCAAATTCAGCAGTGATTTTCTGTTCGAGCCTAGCCGCAGCAGTAAGTCAAAGGCTAATCACCTATTGATTAGAGTAGATTATGAATTATTTATTTAATAATAAATCACACATAATCATAATTTATAGTCAATCTTTTACGAGGTGGTCCACAGTTTTGGTTCAAATCGGATAAAGAATGGTTTTTGCCATTTGGGTTGTAATCTTAATTTTATCTTTTAACGGTACCATTGCACTAAGACATCCTATGCACAACCACATATAACTCTTTACTATTTAATTAAAAAAATTTCACAAAAATAATCATATTTGGAGTGGAAAAAAGATTCCAATCAAAATCTCAATAAATATGCTTATAAACCATTCATCATAAATTGGTATTCAATATTACAAACAAATAAAAACCGATAATGTTCCCACCCTTGCCAAGGTATACAACTATATACAAGCAGCATATGTATATACGGAGCAAAATCTTAACTTGACTAGACGTTACTCAAAGTACAAGGGCAAATTATTCTGTGAATTTGGATTCAAAGATACGCAATTTACATTTACATATATACTAATTGTTCAAAGGTCAGCGAACCAGGTTGCTCATGTGCTTGCACGGGCGGCTGTTTCATCTTCTGTCCTTGGTTCTTGGGAGACTATCCCACCTAGTTGTATCGCAAGTTTGCTTTGATTAATGGAAGTTCCTTTGGTTTTCAAAAAAAAAAAAAAAAAATACTAATTGTTCACAATATCTTTTAAAAATTAATAATTTGTGATGACCCTGTATTTTATTCACAAATTCTTTTTTATAATTGTTATGTGTTTTGACTTAAAAATACAATTTCTATTCTAGAAGTTCACAATTTCAATATTAAAATACACAATTTAGGATTAGGGTCCATCTTGCAATATGGACCCTGGTCCATGGTATAACAAGCGAAGTATAAGTTTGATCAATTGTTTTGTCGTGGAACCGTGTCCACCTTGCTATATTCATAATTACTGAACTCTATGTTTATAATTATAAAATTCTATGTTCATAATTTTTTAACTTTATATTCACAATTTTTGAACTTCATATTAACGATTATTGAATTTTATGTTCATAATTACAGAACTCTATGTTCATAATTATATAATTTTATGTTCATAATTTTTGAACTCTATATTTATAATTATAAACAGTTTTGGACCGCACAACACAATTTGGCAATTTGCCAAGTTTGATAGGCTTTTTTTTTTCTACCAAATTGTAATCTGAGCCCAAGACAATGTAACTGGGCATGCAGCCAGCAGCCTCGTGACAAACATTACAAATGAACTTCATTGATGTGAACGATGAATGTCAACTTAATTGGGTGATGAAGTTGGATGAGAGACCAAAACACGAAAGCGTAGGTTTAGGGAAATTAATGCAGAGAGCATAACACTACAACAGTAGGATCGGAGTTTTGCATAGATATGTATATATTTATCTAGAGATTCACAACACATAAATATGTTAACGTGATGAAATTTCATTCTTGGGGAACTGCTTCAGTGCATTGTCTTCTCCCACTGTTTTCTCATTTCTTTACGCCATGCCTCTTCTCAATACTGCTCACTCACTCTTTCCATCAGTTTTTGAACGTGAATTTGAAACAAGTAATTATTTTTTTTATTTTTTTAAAAAAGCATTTGAATTAATTCACTTTTCGTCCACATAATTATGAAAAAATTACATATCTTAGAACTTTATTCACAATTATATTAACATTCTTATTTTGTGAATCGAAATATAAACTTAATTATAATGGTATAATATATTAATTGAAGCCAATTATGAATATATGTTTTATATACAGATACCTGATGGGAAGGGTTCCGGTTGCCGCCCTCCGGTCATTTCTCCAGACAACATCGAAACATAAAAAAAGTGTTCATTCGATGATAACATTAGAACAGATATAGTAATAAATTGTGCACTAATATACTACTTACAATAGAATTCCCACTTGCTTAAAGGCTAAAACATTCTAGGCAGAAGGCTAGGGTTTTGTCGGATCGAGCTGGCGACGATGTACTCTACTGTACATATAAGAGTAGGAATATAGGACGGACATAGCAATAGGACACATGCATGTAGCTAAGTAGTCTGCCTTATTACGCCAAAAACCACCTCGCCAATTCAAAAAAAAAAAAGAGTTCGTTGGATGACTAAGCCAAGAAATATTAAGATTTTTTTTTTTTTATCAGAGCCGGTCAGCTATGAACATTTTATAGTTTACCTTACCAAATAAAGTTACAATGTGTACTCTTCTTGATTAGAGCCAGTTGGTCTTCTTGATTAGCGGTGGTCAGCTATGGACGTTCTATAGTATTATAGTTTACCTTGCCGACTAAGGTCACAATGTGTGCTTCACTCAGTGCAATTGAAACATGTGTTCTATCTCAACTAAAAGTCTAAGTTGATAGTTAGATTACATATTTATGTTTATATATTATATTATATGCTTAACAAGTATGCATATTCAAATAGTGACGAGAGACTTATCTATAAATTAAACGTCAGAGAACAATGGATGAAATTAACCTTACCATGTTCGAGTTGTTATAAAATCTATCTTATTGAGAATAATTTCGTTTGGAGTATAGTAATCTGATTATTTTAGAGTATTTTCAAATTTGTTATTCAAGATTCAATGGAGTATTATTTAATACTCGTTGAATATACAAATGCTTAATAAGGTTCCAAAATACCCAAAAAAGAAAGACAAAAACAAAAAAAGTCAACACAATTAAGTATATATATATATATATATATATATATATATATATATATATATATATCCTCGAGCTGTGGCTCATCAAAATCCATGGACCATTTCAGAGAACTGCAACACAGGTCCTAACCCTAAGGAGATTATTACGCCAGACAATAGAGTGGGGACATGAAGGAGAGAAGGAGATAATGCTGTGCAACATATTAAAATTACAATTAACAATTTTATAAATAATTTTTAATTCATCCTCTTAATGCTCAACTCCAAATAAAAAAAAATATATATATTACTTAATATTCATTCCAAACAAGAAAACACAACAAATTATATTTAACATAAATGTTGGTCTACTGTATAATGATGGAGAAACACTACTTAGCTTTAAGGAAAATAAAAGAGGTCAGGACCCCTTAGCTTTTATCTGTCTGTCATCCTTATTACACATTAATTATCTTAATTAATTCTTCGCTTAATTCTTCTCATCTACCTTCCAATCAAACCTTTCAATATAATTAATATATCCTTTTTTACTAGGTTTACCCCTTAAAATTTTGCATTACTACATTAGCATTTAGGGAGAGTTTGGTTCACACAATGTTAAATTATGTTAGGAAATTTTAAATTGTTGGGAGTGTTAAAATTATTAAGAATGTTAGATTCATGTGTAATGTGTTTAGTTAAAACTGAGGTATGTATTATAAACATGTTTTATTTAGGGTTTATGTTATAATGTTTTTTTGAACCAAACACCCCCTTAGTACATTGTTTCCTCGCTTAATTACAACAACAAAAAAATAAAATAAAATAAAATAAAATAATCAAACACTTTATATTAATTGGTAATCAAATTAATTAGTAATGTATAGTAGTTGTAAGATCGGGTGATTGAATTACTTTTTCTCAAATATTATGTTAACACAACTTGAAAAATAATGCTTATATCGTGTACTATAGTTCACTTAACAAAATACCCTTGATACATGTTCATTCTTCAAATAAAATATAATCTAAATTAGAATTTTAAATAAAATATGGTAGTTTCATGAATAAAAAAGAAAAAAAAAAGATTGTATATATACCTATACATGTAAATTTTAGTAAACAAGTTGACATGCTAACGACATAAATACGATGTCTAAACACGGACACGACCAATTAAGGTTAACAGGTTAGAATTATAAAAACAAACATGATTTTTAAACAGGTTCTCACGATAGACATGTTTAGTTTACAATTTTCGAATTCACCCCACACAATAACTTGTTAGACATGTTAATGTAATTTTATATTTAGAAAATAAAACTTTAGAAACATCTCTCTATCTCTCTCTTTTTTTTTTCCTGTTACATATACAATTAAATCCAACGAAATAGTAATGATATTCAATTAGTAACATGCCATATTGTTCATAAAAAATAAAATAATATCTAATATCAAATATTAATACTTCATCTGTCACATTTTATTTGTCATCTTTATCATTTATGGGTGAAATCAATTTATTCTTTTTTGTTGATTTTCTTGAATGATTTTTAATTATTTTTAATCTAACTTTTTGTGTTTATTACGGAATATTATTTTAAATATAATTTTAAAATATATAAATTTTATATGTTAATATTAAAATTAATATTATAAAAAATAATTTAAAATTCATTGATTTGGACATGTAAAATGAGGGGGAGAGAGAGAGAGTCAATTATATTTGTGTACAAAGAATATGAAGACCAAACATGATGAAGAAAGGAGGTGACGAAAGTGGGATTGAGATTGAGCTACAATTTCGAGGTAAGGTAACTAATCAAATCAATTGCGTCACTCTGTCAAGACTTTACCGTCTCCGTCATCTTTTTTTCTATAACCAAATTAAATCGCAATAAATATACAACAACATTTTACCGTATGGATGCATAATAATAATAATAATAATAATTATTATTATTATTATAATTATTATTATTATTTATTATTATTATATACACACTAGTAATTCACCCGCGCGATGTACGGAAAAAAATTATGTTATTATAAATATAGATAAAAAATAGAAAAACTAAAATATTTTAAATTATTTAATATAATAATATTTTTGAGCTTCCATTGGTCAAGTATTTATTATTTTTATAGAATACAAAATTACAATTAAAATTAAAATTTTGTATGGTTAATATAATCTCT